TGCATTTGAATTAAATCAATTACATATTGACTGTGAGGACTGGTTTGTGAAAACTGTTGAATTTCATCGAAATTACAAATCGATCTAGATTAGACAACCATTAAAAATCTGTGGGACACTGGATGGTCATATAGTTTTAGTGAGGAAATACTCGGCAGTATGCTGCAACAGTACAGCAGATAAGAATCGAACACTTAACTTCTAGACCATTGAGTTAGAATCCAACGGCGTATAAATCTAACTATCCTCGATCATCTACCATTGTCTTGGGCGACTACTTTTCATGCAATTAAGATATAGGTTGATTGAAGCTAGACTTATAGACTACTAGATTCCAGCACATAGTTCTAGGGGGATAAGTGTTCGTAACGAGAACGACGGACCCAGGATTCAATTCCTAATTAAAGAGTAAAATTCACTCTGACTACATAAATCCATCGAGAATATGTTGAAGATTAATTGAACAAAAATTACTTTAATCTGATAGACTAATTTTTCTTTTATGATTGATCATCTTTTTACAAAATTTTGTGACATTAACTGTGTCATCAACTGAAAACTTCATCACAAAATGATATTAACAGTAAGATAATAATAACATTAGATGATTTGTTCCTTCAAAATAACTCAACAGTAATAATAATAATTATTATTGTTATTATTATTATTATAAGTAAATAAACATGTTCATTAGTCAACAAATAATACATCAATATGTGTTTTCTTTATCTATTCATCTATCAGAATTATTTGACATAATAATACTACTAATGGAATTAACATCAGTAGTATATATAATTAGTATGATTATTAATAGTACTCTTCCTGTTATCATCATTGCAAAATAGTTTATTCGTTAATTTAAAAACAAAACAGTGTAACATTGAATAATGTCATTTATTATCTTAGATGTTAATTAATTTTTAATGTTAAGTTAAGAATTTGTTTGATTGTTTTAAATCAACACGTAAACAAAATAAAATACATAAAGAAATTAGGATAAGGTTTGTGAAGATGATCACAATTTTAATAGTTGAATTCATGATTCAATTGAAGATAGACCACCATTGAGAACCTGGAAGCAATGAACGGTCGTTTCGTTCTAGTATGAGACTCTTGAGCAGTGTACATCTACGACCCTGTCCATGGGACTCGAATCCAAGACCTTCAGGCTCGTGCGCAAACATTTAACCTCTAGACCACTGAGTCGTCATCAAACGGTATTAATAAGGATGTCACTTGTTCTTATTTCTCTAACAACATATCTATACACGAATTTCACAACCACGAAGAAAAATCAGTTCTAACTAACTAATCCATGTCAGTGGACTCTACGGTCATGTTACAAAATGTTTGTGAAAAGCAATATATATATATATATATATATATATATATATATATATATATATATATATATATATGAGTATTTATGCATTTTATTCGATAGTCCGATACACTTTCTCGCTCAAGTAGTCAGTTGGGGAGGGGGGTTGGCGCATAGAATACCATGTATCAGTACCAGATTTCGGATACCGCACATCACAAGACTTTACATATCAACAATGATAAATATAATACTCAGACACTTAATTGTAATCTAGTTCCTGCTCTTATCGATATATATATATATATATATATATATATATATATATTAGACAAATCTTCCGGAAATTTGATATTAACGTGACAAAATTTTCTGACAATACACGTGATTCAAGTGTATCGAATACAACAGTTCATATACATATACATATGTGTATAATAGAAAATATAGAAAGACTTGAAATTCACCTGGTGACAGTCGAATACGTTTTACTAGTACACTTGCACTCTTCCGGTTAAAGTTAAATAATGGTAATCATTCTAGTTATTTGTCTTGAATAATTGATATACAAAAATTACAGATACACCTGTTAAGTAACTGACATAAAAGTCCTTCTGTTGTTCATACTAAACGATTATCCCCTTACATATTTTTTGTGCCTAATGCAAATTGTTAAATATAATACCTTTAAGTGTGTTCAATTCTTCCTTTCTGACATACAAAATCTCACCAAGAGTCAAACCTATAGCTTGTGGTATTGCTCACGAAACTTTAACATCTAGTTTATTGAGTCGGAATCCAATATTGTACGATGTTAACTTCATTAATTTCACGATGTTGCTCGATCATTTCCTAATGTCTTCTGTGAATAACTGCCGTACATCCGACACATATCAATTTCACTGATCATTGCTTCTCATAAGAATTCTAGAACTAACTTCTGCGATTAGTCATTAGTAAAAATATGATAACCAACAGTATAAGAGATTGATGGGGTTTATTAAATGTTATTGATGTTAAGAACATTCCTGGTTTTCGATGGATTTCTAACTTCGTGACATCACCAACTTTCTACGTACTACAGTTATAGTAATGACTCTCTGCTACGAATAAGATAAATAGTACGCAAATTATTATTAGCAATAATATTTTACAGAGTGTTGATTAGTTTATTTGTTCAACTTGATTGTACTCTTCAGCATAAAAAATGATTGACCCATATAAAATAAAGCTTAAACCTTTATAACTACTTATAATTTGTTAGTAGCTAAAAGATAAAACCATATTTTCAACACAGTAACCGGAAATTCAGAAAACCTCTCTAAATAATTCAATTATTTAAATATTTGACAGAAGATTCAACTAGTCAGGTATTTCAACGGAAGTCGAATACAAAATAGTGTTGCACCTACCATTGATTAGGATGAATTCGTGAGTGAACTATTTATGAATATGTAAAATTATAAATTATTAGAAACTATTCCTTTTCGAACTGATATTTAGCTGTGCTTCCAAAAAATTAATTCTACTTGGTCGACCACATACGTTCGTGATAACAAAATGACTGTAAATATAGCACTTCTAATTTTATTAGGTATATAAATTTTGGAGAAAATGTTTGCAACTCCCTTGCCAAAGTAGTAAGAATGGTCGATGAACAAAATTAATTTAATTCACTTATTTCCACAGACAATGTGGTATACGTGCATCTTGTGCGGATTGCCTTGAATATGTACTACAAATGTCACCTCAGCAACTTTCACATCGACCATTATTGCAAACGTTGAGGTAGGTTAGAAAAAATCAGAGAGATAGTTTACTGCATGGCACAAAGGTATGAAAGAAAAATGTTTAGGTCTATTACAACTTCATGGTTAAATTCCGAGATATAGTCCAACTCATTGGCTTAAGACGTTATCGGACATACTTCAAAATACAAGCCTATACTAATCTTATCGTAGTTCCTGTTTTCTAGTACTCTTCCTCAAAGTGAAACTTCTTTGAATAAAATAATTCTTTCTGTTAGATTTCGATAATGCAATGAGAAGACGAAGTTTATCAGAATTATGTGATATATTAGCGCAATACATTTCGAACAATCTGATCACACATATACTTGTTAAGAGCATTAACTAGACAGGTTAAGGGTAAGTCATAACAAAGGAAAAAATATTAAAGTACACAAAACAGATGTGATTATCACTCTGGATAATAAATCAGTACTACCAGGGTAGGTTAAGTATAAGGACAAATTGGGCACAGGAAAAACGTTATGACCGTTCGAAGCTGCCCGCGCTTTCGTTCCAACGACCTTGAACGGCCTGAAAAGAGGCGGTCATTCCGTATTTCTATTGCCGTGGGTTGGTTGGGTTTCATGAGTGTCAAGTTTTTTCATAATTAAGTCATGTTTCGCCGCATTGAAAAGCACGAAATAATTATCAAACGCATTAATTTAGCATTCTCTTTCTTGTAGTGTACACGTTGGCTCTCTTGTTGCTTCGTAGTTTGATCTGTGGTCCCAACTGCTGTAGTAAACCTCTACGAAATGTCAAATCAACGGTAAATCCTAAGTATTTATAGTTCTTCCTTGAGTTATTACTGTTTCAAGGAATTATTTTTTTATAAACAGTGATTTCTGTTTGTAGTGCTTCGTGCTCAAGCGACATTTCAGTCGACCTTAGCGAACCTTTTCAAAGTATGATAATGAACAAGCGTTTTGCATACTGGGATGACTTTGATAACGCCCTAAAAGAGTTCTAAAAAGTATGGAAGAGTGATTTTATCATTTCTCAGACTACGTGCACTCATTACATCTACGCAGAAAGCAGGTTGCTGAAGGATGTCAGGTTCAAATACCTGTTTGTTGCTTTTCATTGTACATTTGGTCATAAGCGGAAATCAGAATGTTTGAAAGTGAATCAAAAATCGCGAGAACTTTAGCTAATATGTGACGTTTAAGGTCTAAATTCCTTAATTGTCAATCAAAGTTCCGTGTAAGACTGGAGGCGGAAGGATATGTCATCAAATCCTACAAGATGCTCCCCAATCATCCATGTAGTAGTTCATGGATGGTTTGTGATCCATGGACAAGAAGATTATCGTCGGAAGAAAAAGAGAATTTAAAGCCAGTCATTTTGCAGTCGCAGTCAACTGATGAAATTATAGAATGTGTCAAGAAGAGAACTGGTAAGGTGGTCACTGTTGTTGATGTCAAGTCTATGAAAGCTGAACTCTCCAAAGGTAAGTGTATAAAAGTATATTTCAGGTTGTTGTATGCGTAAAAATGTTATGGATTTGCTGCGACAGAAAGGTGAAGTTAGGGAACATTTAGAAAATGGATATGTAACGAGAATATGTTTCAGTAGTTATGACCAAATGCACTTGTACAATGAATATCCGGAAGTTGTTTGCATTGATTCTACTTATAATACCAATAATAAGAAGTGATTGTTCTTTTGCTTGTATTCTATTTTGTAGATATTCCTTATTTCAGTTGGTTGTAACGGATAACTTTGGTCGAGGACGTACGGTCATGTTTGCCTGGACGCTAAAGAAAATGCGTGCAAATGTCACCTGGATTCTAGACAAATTCAAAGAAATCATGGGAACAACAACACGCACAGAAACATTTGTTATGGACTGTGCAAGATCAGAAAGCACGGCTGTCCGTATCACACACGGGCACGCAAACATTATTCTGTGCGCTTTTCACGTAATCCGCAAAAAGGTACACCAACATTGCCCTTAGACACGTGACAAAATTGTGAGAACGTAAGTCAGTCGATTGGTAAACGCTAAAACGGTTGGACGGTATTTTTTTAATGTATTTATTGACTAGATTTAATCAATATTTCAGAATTAACCAAAGGGACAGGCAGTATGGTGAAAGTTTCGCAACGGAAGTTGAGAAGAAAGTGAACAGTTATAATTTAAGAATTAATAATGATACCCTGTAAACAAGTTTTTATGCTAAAAAGTTAAATAAAGTACTTCATAATTTTCGTTCTCCTCTTATTCCTTGGTTGTTGGGGATATTGTCCACGAGTCAGTGTCTGTAAGAATTAAGGACGTAAAGTCTTACTGAATAGGCATTCATTGTATTTCGTGGTTTCTTCTCAGCTGCTTACAACGAAATGTGCATTACAATTTAACATTTAGGTATGAAGCAGTTGATATAAGTAAATATAAATAGTTGGAATAACGTAGGTCATCAATAATAACAATGCATATATGCAGGTCAAAGGTCATTTATTTATAGAACAAAGGATACATTAAGGGTGGGTGGGTCGAGTAGAGTTCACAGACGGATAAGTGGTGTGAAAATTTTATAGGTTATAAAGGATCCTTGCATTTAAAAATTGATAAGTTGGGTTACGTAGAATTTGAATAGGACCAATTAAGCGTGGATGAGTGACAGGGTACTTTAACAGATCGCTATATAACTGTAAAAAATGAAATGAATTATTACGTAACCCATCTTATTACTTGCTAATTCCGTGAATTATAATGCATTCATATTACTCTGCATCAATATTTGTTCTAATATCATATACACTGTTTTTACATACTTACACGATTTATAATGTAAAACACTGAGTATAGTTGTGATATTTACAATACTGAGAAACAAAAAATCAGTCTTGAAATAAACAATTAAGCTTACTTAGCCGTATCATATTCATTAAGTTCATCAAATAGCAGGTAACAGAATGTACCTATAAATCTCTTATTTGCAACACTGTTATTCACAACAGATTTCGGATTCCGTTAATAGAAATTCATCGGTAATCTGCAGAACATATACGGAAAATCATATTACTATGAACGCTTCACAGTCTCATGACATTTCTTTATACCAGGTTTGTTATTTAAATGAAATGTTATTGGTTTCAGTATTAACTAGGAGATGGTTTTGTCACCATGCCCAAGAGAAACAATCAGTGCACATTATTCACGAAATATGGAATATATCCTAAAGAAAAATATAAGGCAGAAAATACTTTGGGAATAGAATGATTTACATCCAGAAGATTATTGGGTAAAATCCAGATCAAAGTAAATAGTAAAGTTTTTAAAGTCGCTAAACTTATTACTATAATCAGTTATATAGTGACTCTATATTCGCCTGTAAATAAAGATTTTCCTTTGATTGACAAAACTGACCAAACCAGAAATAAATAAGACAGTAGTGAAATATACTTGACGGAAAATGAACCGGAGCACAAATGGGGACGACACTCAATCACCTAGTAACCAACATACAGATTGATAGCTAAGTATAATTTGTCTGTATCAGAAGTATTTTGGTTTTGAAGCTCACTATTGTAATGTTTATGACAACAATGAGTATATCAAACAATATTTTCAGACAAAATAACCATTTTCATACACCTTTACATATATTTTGGAAGAAGATATCTTAAGACTATCTTTCAAAAGAACGGCTACCCAATCAACATCAAAAGATATCAATCCAATGCATCAAGCCGAACCAAAATGAAGTAGAGAAACCAACAAACGGAATATTTAACAATATATATAAAAGACATAAGAAATTATAACGACATTATTGGAGCCGTTCGGAATAGTTATAGCACACAACCTTGCCCAAAAGAAACAAATCGTTTTACATATGAACACTTTGTGACTACTTAATGTGACACTTCCAGTGGTGCTATATACTGTTCCTGTATACGTTCAGAAAGCGGACGGAAATGACTATCAACGTCAATTGTTACTCACATAATTCTTCTCATATGCGTTACATAATACTATGTCATTTAAGTAAAAAGCGATGATACTTATAATAGGTATAACTGTTTATGACTAAATATTAACAAGTTATATAATATTCATAAATGGATTAACGCTTAATTGCTTGTTCCTTACATTTTATAAACAACTACAAACATCCATGTTCATCATCACCACAATAAACGAGGTGAACCATATGTAATGTTTTAGAGCTTATTTCCTTGAAAACTCAATCTGTGACCTATTTTATAACTTGAAAAATGGTGAATCTTACTTGATTGAGTTTGTATTGTTGCAAATAACCTAATTAGGCTTACTAAACAGTCACTAAGCTGGTAAGTAAATAATACGTCAAACTGCAAATAAATTGGAATAAAAACTATGTAGCAACCATAAACAATACAAAAAGGTACGTGAGATGGAAAAAAGCCTGTTAATAGTTGATAAATAACGACACAAAAAATCCACGAGAATATGTTACACGTGCGCGAAAACCCATAACCTTACGGTCGTACTGTGCCGACAAATTGTTTTTGAACACATAAAGGGGGTTTTAGTTTCCGTATAGCCAAGGCTTCAATAAACCTTAGTATACGTCCTTGAAGGCTTTTGTATAACACTACAAATGCTGATTTGATGTCGACCTCAATCAAATGTTTCGCAATGGAGGATGATGTCTGCCTATCCTGTGATCATATTTGACCATTGGAATCCATTTGTTTTTGCAACCATTATGGTGTGTGATCAGATTGTTCGAAATGTATTGCGCTAATATATCACACATCTCATTGAATTATCGAAATTTATCAAAGGGACTAACTGTTTTAAATTTCTTTCTGTTAGAATTTTTTTTCTAAATGAACTGTATTTTCCATTAAATACTACTACCATTTACTACTGATTTTTAGGAGTAAGATACCACTATAGCAGGTTTATTACAAAAATATGAATGATTAAAATCTCCTAAATATTGAGTTGAGTTATCCTATAACAATAATTCATACGAAAATTTAATGTACTTCTTTAAAACACAGCAACAAAACAATTTATTTTTAAAATAATAATAATAATAATAATAATAATTTTGCATTTACGGAATAACTATCATTAAATAGTTAGTTAATTTAAATATTCATGAATTCTTCTTTGTTGTTGAAACTTTCTTAATGCTTCTTCTAAGAGATTTATTGTTATTCCATGTTGAACCAAATGACATTGTACACCTAATTTGGAAATTTCATGAATATTACGAGATTCATCATCGAAAAATAACATGTCCGCATAGTCTATACCAGATAATTCATGAAATCTAAAATATATAGAATAAATAAAAAATAGAATAATTGAAGGTAGTGACTAATGTACAAGTAGGTTTGAAGAAAGTGAAAGATGGTCAAACTAAAATATGTTATTAATCCAAGAAATCGTAGTCGTCAACTGAACTAAACTATGTAAGTATATAAGTCTAGAATACTCGATTAGGGTTTACACGATCATTGCGAACAATGGTTGGAGATTTTAAGTGGTATGGCTCAGAATCATTCGTAATGGAGTATGTGCATTCATTCTTTGTCTTCGCCTTACTTTACACTCTATATTCTGCAAACTTAATTGTTATTCTCGAATTATATTATCTATACCTAACCTTTTCCACTACTACTAATACCACTACCAATACATTTACAACTTCCATTACTCTGGAATTTTTCCTGGTATTTTTATTCTACTGTGGTAATGTAGTGTGACACTGTGAGCTGATGCACATATTTACCAGGCTTTTACATTACGCATGACTGACTAAAATGAAAATGTGAAAGGTTTTTATTTATTTCGAGAATAATTTTGGAAAGTGTTTGAAGATAACAAGAAAGAGATGTCTATCAACCATTAGTTGAGTTGATCGAGGTGTTTTTATATAAGGATTACTAGTTTTGCTGAAAGGCAGGTTCTAATTAAAGTAGTGTCAGGACTTTTATCGATCGGCCCTTGTTAACAGGAAAAAGACTATATTAAAGGATGTTCCGTACACAATTATGTTGGGGCACGCTGATTGACCCATTCCCAACCAATGACCGCAAGCAGATAAATAGAGAAGACTCTAGAATCTTCCTGTACAAAAGTTATCAATACATTAAAAGTTTTCTTACTGAAACTTGGCCAGCTGTTTTGTTTTTGGAATATAATTACTTTCCTGTTCCAGTTTTGTTCTGATTTGAGGACTATTTAGATGAAGTAGTGTTATCAGGTAATCCAAGTAACCGAGTCCGATAAGAGCCAGAGCAGACAATTTTTATGTATCCAATATATCACACAAAGTATGATTTGTGTGTGAAATGCATTTTCTGGCCATATATTTATCAGAAAATTTCAAGCCGGGGAAGGGTTAACCACCGCAACAAACAGCTTAAACATAAACCAATTTGACTAAAAAAGAAGTAGAATACCCAAAAGCACAATGCTGGATAATTATTGGGCTGCCAAACCAAAACAGTACACTAAATTTCAGACCGCATTTCATAGGGTGGTCTTTGTCTACAGTTACAGATATTGAGCTATACGGTCTTCGAACAATCGCCTAGATAGAGATGCAAGATACGCTTTTTAAACTTTCCGATCCTAGACTATTTCTAAGCAACTGAGGCATTGTTTATTCAGTCATTTGAAAACAAGTCTTTTCGAAATTATACCTTCTTAGGATCTTATCTGTATTTTTAAAAAAATTAAACGTGAAACCAATCAATACCTACCTTTTAAAGTGAGCAGTTTTAGACCCAGGGTAGATTTCTATGTAATCAAATAAATCCGACCAATTAAGAGCCTGTAGAAGTTGTCGAGCAACATTGACAGCAGAAGTACTGAAAAAGATGACAAATATGGGATAAAAAAAGTGATTTACGCCTGGATCTCAATATCAAATAAGATATCCGAATGATTTATTATTAAGAAAATGATACCCGGCAAAAATATTTATTCAAACGAATGTAGATACATTCGTAAAAGAAGCTTCCTTGTATTAGAAAAGCCAATTAATACATGCAACCAGGCCCTATAATTTAATTATTATACAGAGAAACTTCAACAGATCGAATACAATCAAAAAAGTATTAGTTATCTCAGTCAGTCAGCAACAACGTCGAACTTCGTACGTACGTACATCAGTTCGAGCTGCCATACCGCATCACCACACAGATACAACTGTCGATTCAAATCCCATAGTGGTAGAGGTAGTAAAAGTACAAGTAGTAATCGGAAACATTAGGCTTTCAAGATGTTACTCAAGGAGTATAATACAGTGAAATGAATTTGGAAGGAGAATAAAAAAGGATATGAAGAATTCAGAAGATTAGAAATTGGCAAAACACAAAGAGTGGATGCACCTGCTCCATTGCAAACGATTTTGAGCCATGACATTCAAGGTCTTTAACCATAGTTTGCTATCATCTCGCGGACCCCAACCAGGTAGTCTACACCTACCAACATGGTTCAGTCCACTTGTCAGTGACTTCATGGATTTGTGCCATGTTTTGGTTTGACCGCCCTAGCTTTCTTCCAACTTACTCCTACACCATAAAACATAGCACGTCGATGCAGTCGGTGGTTGGGCATACATAGCACATGTCCCAGCCATCTCAACTGATGAAGCTTTACTACTTCATCAATTGATTTGCCATCCCTACCTAATACACGTTTCCTAACAACTGCACTACTTACTCGGTGGTCCCAGGATATACGAGCAATGCATATGATCGAATACTAGTAACCTACGAATATCCTCTACACTTACCAGCTATGTTTCACTGCCATAAAATATTTATCTAAACTGTTAAATATTTTTATTGATGCAAAAATACCTAAACTACATAGTAATGTTTATAAATTATTTTTATTCGAAAACGATCTTCAAAACCTAAGATATCAGTCTAAACAAAAGAATATAGTTTGATCTTATATAATAAACTTAATTATTTCATAGTATGACACAGAACTAGATTTAAATAAAATAATTACATAAAAACAAAATAATTAACTTAATATATAGCTTTTCTTAAAAACTGTAAGGTCCATAATTTTTTTGATACATAGTTGGATTATTTCGGTAATGTTGAATTTTTGGATCTAGACAGTTTACTAGTAGAGTTTTTATTGCCGTTTCGCACAACATAAACAGCTACTTTATGCAGCTTGAGAAGTAAAACTGGAAAAACTTATACGTATTTCTTGACAGGGTTTTAGAGCTTGGAGGATGTTAACCTAATGGTTTATACTAACAGCACTTTACAGTGTAATTACGATATTTATTCTAAAAGATACTAAGTTTATGTGGCATTCCGTGTTTCTAGACGGTACACATTATTATCGTGATATTCAAAGTTCGTTAGTAAGGATGTTGAGATGATAAAATAATATACTAATAACTGACTTTGTGATATGTAATAGTCTATGACTAACTAAATGACCAGTTTAAACAAATGCAAGCCATTTAACAAAAATATACGAGATCCTAGAAATTAGCTGTTTAAAATCTAAGGTAATAAAGTTGAAAACTAGTGTGGTGTTTATATGAACTAATGATTATTTTGTACTTGATGACTATCTAATTCCGAATTCCAATTCAATGGTGCATATGGGCTCCAGTATCCTGCGGGAACAAATGGCGTATGAACCAATCGTTGGTCACCGGCTACCATGGGACTGCATCTCCTCACGATGCTCCACTGCCTTGTGGGTCAGACGTTCAGGTCAAAGGCTCGGGGTGTGGCCCCCTAAGAAAACCATCTGCTTCGGTTTGGGCACCCGGGCAGTATCACAGCCCTCACACAAATCAATTGAGATTCGTGTGGCGCATATGTACTTGGTGCCTCCCTGTACCAATACCTATGTGTTAAAATGATAAATAATAATAAATAATATGGCAGTGTAATAATAATAATAATAATGGGGAAACGGAAAGATACAACCAGAACAATCCTTTCAGTTAAGGAAGTTACAACCACTTTTTATGAAGAAAGTAAAAGAAAGTTACAGTAGGATCGCCACTGGCTTCTATTTTGAGCCATATCTGATAACGCCTCTAGCCACTGTGTTGCGCCATCTCTAGGACTCCAGCCAGGGAGTCATGAAAGACCAACACAAGCCAGCCCTTTGCAGCTTTCTTTCATACCCCGACATTATGTCATGGCAAAGTTGAAGAGGAATGGTGAGATTGGGGAACTCTGACTAACCACACTACTCAAATGGAAGAATGGAGAGAGGTGGTTGTATGTCCTCACTCTGCCTGAGGTGTTTGTGTATAGGGCTTTTAGGATGTTAATAAACTTCTTAGGCACAACCTTCTTCAATAGACAATCCCAGAGAACAGTCCTGTCCAACGAATCGAAGGCAGCTCTGATTTCAAGAAACACTACGATTGTTGGCCTGTGATAAGTATGACGGTGTTCTAACATTTGGCGGAGGGTGAAGATCTGATCAATATATCCCTGATCAGAACGAAAACCAGTCTGCTCCTCGCGAGTCAATCTTTCTCGGGTTTTGAACAACCTACGAAGTATGACGGAAGCCAATAGTTTGGACGCAATCGGAAGTAGACTTATTCCCCGATAGTTGTTACAGGAACGACGTGAACCCTTTTTAAAGATAGGAAAAATTATCGACTCATTATTCCATGATAATGGTACACTCTCTAGTTCCCAGACCTTTGTAAACAACGTTGTCAGTTCCTTAGCCAGAAAGTCACCACCATCTTTAAATAGCCGGAGGTAAGTCATCCGGGTCCGGTGATTTGTAACGTTTCAAGAGTTGGAGTTCCATGCGGACTTCCGCCTCATTTGGTGGATCAATCGTCACCGGCCATGGAGGGCAGGACTGTCCGATCGATGTTGCCGGAGCAGCAGGCCAGTCGAACTGCCCTTCGAAGAATTCTGCCCATCGTCCAAGACGTTGATGGATGTTAGTGATTGGCGTTCCGTCATCTTCGCAGATTGTTTCGTTCACACCAGACTTCTTGCTGTCAGTGGCTCGGATGAGTTGGAAGAGCTTCCGGTAATTACCAGATGCAGCTGCTGCTTCCAGCTCATTGGCACGCTCCGACCACCAGGCTTCTCGGTCCTTACGCAAGCTTTGCCCGATTTTCTTACGTAACAGCATTCGTTTGTGACCAAACTCACGGTCACCCGGAGTAGACCGACGGGCTTTGATGAGTTGTAAGGAGCCTGAAGAAACCCAGTGCTTATAAGCAAAACGTTTCATGAAGTCGCAAGCGGCTTTAGCCGCCATTTTCATGGCTCCACTGCCTTGTAGATTAGACCTTTAAGTCGAAGGCTCTGGGCGTGGCCCTCTAGGAAAATCACCCGCTTCTGTTTGGGCACCCAGGCAGTATCACAGCCAACAAACAAATCAAGTGACTTGTATGTCGCATATGTATTCAGTACCCTTTTGTACCAATATTTATGTGATCAAATAAAGAAATAATAATAAACAAGTACAAAGTAATCGTTAGTTCATACAAACACCACATCCGCCACAGCTTAATTTGGAGTCTAAATTTCTGTAATTGATTGTACGTCTTCTCCTTAAGTTCATCCTGTATCTGTTCGAAATTGTATTGGGTGTAGACTATATATTATCTAGAATGTACTCATTAGTATTAGAATTAACAATCGAAGTCGAAATGGACTCACCTGGGTCCTGGAATTGTATACAGTCATCATGCTGGTTGTATAATGAAAGCACATCTAGGATTTGAATCATAGATTTAACAACACTATCTTTCCCCACGAAATAATGTCGGGTTTTCATATCCCCAAGTTATGAGTAATGTGGTTTCCTTTAATACATATTTCTCACGCTGATTAGAGGATTCACTAGAAGTGACTTCATGATAAGGATAAGGACAACAAAAAAGAATAACTATCTACTACTCGACTAGTGTATATGGATCATTCCCATAAGAAATCAGTACATAAAACCGGAACCAATGATAACAACACAAAATATGAAAGAAATGTTGGGATCGTAAACAATAATTACTTCTTATGGTGTAACAGAAAAACTGGCTAGCTATTGATGTGAAGAGAATGCTCAAACACCAAACAAAAAATGTTCATTTTAGTATTTATTACAAACTTTTTGATAATAGCTTTAAATCAAACTCATTAATAGGCTAATTTTGTACCAAAATATAATATTGAATAAAGCCATTAATAATAATAATAATAATAATAATAATAATAATAATAATAATAATAATAAAGGAATAAAACCAGAATAATGAGGGTCGTTGTCAAGATATATTGGAATGGTGATATTAGGTTGTTTAAAACACAAATCTCAATTCGGCAAGATTATAACTTAGGGATGGGCCAATCATATTCAAGACAACATATCTTGGGTTTTGAAGCGAAATTCATCTACTCGTTTGGCTAAATACCGTTTTGGCATTACAACTTATATCAGTTCGTGATAAAAACATTAAATCTAGTTCCTAAATCTAACATTCAAATGTAAATCCTAATTCTAATTCCTCATACACACATACATACATACATAACCCTCATTTAACCCTAGTAAGTAGGAGGACATTCTAAGGCCATTTTAACGTTGCCCAAAGGTCGTCAATAAATTACAGTCTTACCGATAGCAACTGTAGGATTTAATGTCTTACAGATATTCTACTAGAACTGTGAACGTAATACTGACGACCCCAGAGTCAATGTGAAAGCTATAGTCAGGACAAGGACAACTTGGCTTTAAGCTTGATAGGTTTTTAAATGCAAAAACAACTCTATTAGTACAGTAATTAAAGGAATTATAGTCGTTAAGTTAAACGCACAAACAAACCGATCAGTAGTGTGTGCCTTATCAAAATGAATAAAAATTACCAGTCACACCAAAATAATAGGATAATAATATCCTTCAATTGGCCGGTCATATTCAACAGGGATAACCACAGACATAACAGACAAGATTGACGTAGTGTGCGTTCAAGCAACGATTTAGTCGGTCAGTTATGGACATAACAAACAGTTACTCACACATTCAAGTAAAATATACGATGAATAGGGTTAGGTCTTACCGCGAAGCACATCCCAATTTAACTTTCGAAGACTCTTTGATCATCCTGTAAGGCAGTGAATACATTACAGTACATCTCACGAAATTCCTACCTCAATATTACTTGCGCATCCGAGTACACATCAACTCGTCTCTCACTAGCATCGTATACAGTGTTATTTCTAACAAATCACCAATCATGAGAAAAATCTATACGGGCCTCACTTTCGTATGAATGGAGGGTAAACGTGGGTGTCGCACCACAGAGGCCATAGAGTGAAGTCTAGAAATGAAGTTAGCTTTACTGTTTTCCCTACCGAGATCGAACACGATAAGTTTAGGAAGCCGAGAGAATGTACTTAAAATATCCACAGTGACCATCTGGGTTAGCTGAACTACTTAGCCTGTAAAAGCTGTGTATAACTTACAAGTAAGTTGTTTTCAGTAAACTGTGGAGAAAGACTGGAGTGTTTGGTGGTTCAGCAGTCTATTACGTATGCACGAACGATGACTCAATGAACACGAAGTAACCGAATTATGAGAAAGAACAAGTCCCGAGGTATTAACGATGTAACGGTAGGTTTCACGTAACAACTCGTCGGTCAATTGTTGTTAGGTTTCAGAAGTGTTTATCCCTTTAAAAAAACGGGATTAAAAAACACAAAACCAGTAAAGAAATTTACATAAGCTCCAGTCAGAAATCGTACATTGTTATGCAGATAATCAAAAAACTACTAGGTACTTACTAAATCCTTGAGAAATCGCTTAAGTAAGCCTATTACATCACAGCGTTCCCAGGCAACGCTTCAGGGGTATCGTCCACTAATGGACGTCGCGAGCATTTGAAGGTCAAATTTTCTCACGATGATTGGTTCAAATGGTGCAAATGGTTGTGGACGGAATAGAGGAAGCTTTCGCTCAACAGGCTTCTGTGTCTAGTAGCAGGGGATCACCAATACCTCCAGGCGAAAACCTAGGTATATTAACGATAAAAGAGAAGAAAAAGAAATTGGTAAAGCATAGTAAGATACTATCCTTATTCCTTAAGAATAGATCAAGTCGCCTCTTAAAGGACTCCTGGAAAGTTGCTTGGACTAGCTCAGCCGGCAACGAATTCCAGCATTTTACAACTCTTAAGGAGTAGAAATTGTGCCTGCAGTCCGTTCTACTATGTTGTATCTCGAATTTCTGGGTGTTACCCCTTAGGTTAGTGTTGGGACTAAGCTTAAGTAGGTGTTTAGGATGATGTCCGGGTGTGTTAAGGATACTGTAAGCCATTAGAAAGTCACCTCTAAGACGCCTATACTCTAATGGGTAAAGGTCGAGTGATTGGAGGCGCTCATCGTAAGGTTTAAATTTGAGTCCCCGAACTGATTTCGTGGCTCGCCGTTGGATACGCTCCAGAGTGTCCTTATCCTTTTGGAGTGTAGGAGGGAATACTATGTTTCCGTACTCTAAATGGGGACGAATGAAACTATTGGAGATTATGTGGAAAGTTCTCCCGTCAAACTGACCAAAAATGCGCTTCAATGTTACCAGTGCCAGGTTTGCTCGAAAGGCGTTTCTGTCACAGTTGGAGTAAGACTTTAAGTCGTAGGGCACCAGAACTCCTAAATCTTTTTCGACTCGGGATACTACTAGAGAGGAGTTTCCTAAGTTGTAACTGTAATCTGCGACGTGTCGCAGATGAACTACTTTACACTTTGAAGTGTTAAAGGTAAGTCCGTTATCGTCTGCCCAACTTTGAAGTCGAGTCAGATCCTCCTGAAGCGCCTGTATGTCCTCTTGGCTGCGTATCTCTCTCCAAAGTTTCACGTCATCGGCAAAGAGCAATATGTCTGACGTTACCTGTTGAGGAAGATCATTCATATAAATTAGGAAGAGGAGAGGTCCTAGTACTGAACCCTGGGGTACCCCACTAGGACATTCCATAGCGTGTGAGAAATTGAAGTTAACCCTGACCTTAAAATGTCGATTTGTCGGATATGAACTGGGCCAGTCAATTAAAGGTGGTTTGATACCCAATTGTTTGAGCTTGTTAATAAGACACATGTGGTTAACCCTATCAAAAGCTTTAGAGAAATCAAGGTAGATAATGGCCACCTTCCCGTTGCGATCAACGATGCTTGTCCATCTGTCCACCGCGGTCAGCAGGTTCGTCATACAGGAGTAACCCTTCCTGAAACCATGCTTCTGGGGTGAGAATAAATTTAAGGACAGCAGATAGTCGTGTATACCTTCGTATATCAGGGACTCCATGATTTTTGAAGGTATAGAGAGAAGAGCCACCGGTCGGTAACTTGAAGGTTCGCTGCGTCGACCTTCTTTGAAAATTAGTATGATATGAGCCAGCTTCCGATTTTCCGGTAGTTTGCCTCGACTTAGCGAGTGCGAGAACATCACGCTAAGCGGTGTTGCCAGGATTGAAGCTGCTTCCCTCAGTATAGCAGAATGGACCATATCTGGACCAGGAGATGTGTCTGTTCTTAGGTGTTGCAGTTTTCGGAGCACCGAGTCAGCTCTCAGGTTCACTACGGAAAGTCTTGTGCAGTTGTAGATGAAGCTGTCATCATTATAGTTGATGTGGGTCGGTTGGAATGTCCTGGAGTATTGCTCAGCCAGAAGGTTAGCGGCGTCACCGTCGTTATCGGTCGGGCCATTAGGACCTAGCAGTTGAGAAACTCCAGTTTTGGCTTGACGAAAAGAGGCTGCGTAACGGGATAAGCTTTTCGGATTGGAAATAAATTTATCCATAAGCCTTAACTGGTAATGAAGCATGTTTTCTCTTATAGCCTTTGTGTATATATTCCTTATATGTTTGAATTGCCTGTACTCGCTGTTGTTGTCAGTTCGTTTGTATTCTGCTCAATAGTGCCTTTTACGGCTTAACAAACGAAGAGTGTGGTTTTTGATGATTGTAGGTTGCGTTTGACTTTCGGGGACCGTCTGAGGAACTGACTGCTTCGTAGCTAATAAGAGGGTGTGCAGTAAGTAGTTCCAGTGAGTATCCACATCAAGTTGAGGGTGAACATCACAATCCACCTGTTGTAGATAGTCCTGTAGAGCTGACACATTCAACCGTTTCAAATTCCAGCGCTCGTTGTTGTTGGGATATCTTAGCTCAGTTTTGCTGACGAAACTGAAGGCTATAACGCCGTGATAGCTTTTCCCCAGGGGAGCCAGAATTGAGAGGTTGTCAACTAGAAATTCTTCATTTGTAAAAACACAGTCTAAGCGCGACGGTGTCTGACTGTTTCTCCAACGAGTAGCCGACTTCACGTTTTCGTATAATCCCAAATCCTCAATGATGTTGAAGAACCGAGCTTCGATTGAATTTTCACCTCCAGTATACGTATGTTCCGCGAAGTTGACTCTAGAGAGATTGAAGTCCCCTAGAATCAGGATATGAGTGAAATCGAGACGTGTGGAGCGGGATAGTCCTTCCAGTATGCGACTGTCATACTCGAAGTCGGCAGCGGGCTTCCTATATATGACTCCGACTAGGCACCTCGAAGTAGTGGACAATCTCACAGAGCACCATATGGATTACTCAAGATTGTTAAACTCATGGTTGTAAACTTGGTGTACCTCCAAGCCAGATCGTATGTATAGGGCTACTCCACCCCCAATTCCTTTTTTTCTGTCATTGCGAAACAGAGACATCCCAGGTATTGCAAGCTCCTGGTCCGAAAACTGAGATGATATCCAAGTTTCAGATTTTCCTATCAGATGAACCTTATCAGCATTGCTAAGTTCACGTGGCTCATCCAATTTGTTTGGTAGACTCGCGGTGTTCGTGTATAAGCAGTTAATGCTTTCAATTTGAAACGCGTGAGCTTCCTGTTTGTCTGTATGAGCCTTACGTGAATGGACAGGTAGCCTACCTATATAAGGTTTGCCGAATCGGTAGGCCCTGTCCTTTACACGTTTTTTATCTTTAAGACGGTCCATAAGTGGAATGGTCAGCTTCAGCTTGCCTTTGTGCTTGATCCTGGCGTCATATGGCCTGTCCGGGTACATGTAGATCCCAGTTGGCAACCGACGTCTGCTGGCACAAAATGCTTACAGAGCTGCAGCCGCCATATTGGAGGGTGGGAAAGTTATTCTCATCAGTCGGGGTCTAGGATCACCGACCTTCTTGGCTGGTCTCGTCACACGCTGAGTCAGTATGTTTTTGAGCCTCAAGGACTGTTTGATGAAATTCCATTCCCGAATGTCAGAGTTTGCTTGACTAGGGTCCATGTAACCTTATACACCTTTCACGATGATATTTCTTCCGCGGAAAAACTTCTCTCGAGAATCTTTAGGGACGTTCCGGATGAGATTTCGCTCAGAATACGGTATGTCGGGCAGTATTTTGACGTTCCCATCGGATTTCAGTAGATCAATAGCTAGCAGGACATCCTCTACTTCGGTAGCATTCTTGTATTTTACACGAAGTAGCCTCGGGTGATTTTAATGCTCAGATTCCTTTCCCTGAGTGAGCCGTGTGACCGTCGAGGGCTCTATTCTAGGAAGTTCGAGCTTTTTGCTCAGTTGACCCCAGAGCATCCTGTCATTTTTGTCCTGCAAACTGAGAGGAAGGTCAGGGTTGTCTATGAGGTTCATGATTATCAGAGAGTCATCACGGACCGTTATTGTTTTACCAGGTTTTCCGGTGCGTTCAGCTTCAGTACGTTGTTGATTGAAGGTCGAAGCAGGTTTCTGAGTCCTAGGCTTTTTGATAACCGGGCGGACGTTTTGGGGGTAGACTGAGCGATTAAATCACCAGCTGATGTTCGTACGCCACTTAGGATGTTTTGCTTAGACGGGGACACCTGGTCCTTTTTAGCTCTGTTCGTGTGGGCGCAGTCACCTGCAGAGTTTTTGAGAACCACTGTTGCGTTTAAAGACCCTGAGCTGGTAGATCGGAGTTTAGTGAGGGAGTCTATTACCGTCGACGTATTGATTGTGCTGAGTTTCAACATGTCATCATAAGAGCTAATGCATGCTCTGTCGATGGTAGATCTATCGACATCCCTATTCTTGTTTTCATTATGTGCCCTTGTTTGTCTACCTATTTTATGGCTATCTGTTTCCAAGTTTTCTGACAATTTATTCCGCAGACCTTACAATGGAACAATGATGTTACTCAGCAATACTAAAACATCCGTGCTGCACGTAACACATACCTACTTATGATCCGATTTGCTGAGTCTATTGTAAGCAGTTGCCGTGAGATCTGTGCTCGCTTCATGGAACCAGCCTTTGCAGTTGTTGCACTGCATGCCAGATGTAACAGCGAAACAGCATCCAGGTCCTTTGCATGAATTTTTCATGGCTGTATTGACGTAAACTGTGTTAAAGATACTATCAAAAGCTTAAGACCGTTAAAAATACACTAGAAACGGGAAAAATGTATAAAACGGATGAGATAAAATGAACTAGCCTATACGTGAAAAACTGAAAAAAACCGAATAGTAAGCTGAGGCAAAACCACAGTCAACTATTAAATTGGGCGAAACTCAAAAATTAAGTAATCTACCGAACTTTAGATCAGAAATGGTGCTTTTGTTGCGTAAGAACACAGCAAAAGTTTGAGAAATACAAACCACGTTAGGACTAAACTTCCCGTTAGAAAAGCGTCATATAGAGAATTCATGAAGTTTTCAAAAGCGGTCAAATCAAGATATTTTTAATTTGAATTGAGTTCAGTCACACCATTTCCGATAACGTCCATCCTTCAAGTAACGAAGACGATGCCATCGTGATGATGCATGATATATGACGAATCTTCAATGAAATTATATTACCTCGACGATTTACAAGTCGGGACAATTTTGTGATCTGTTCGAAAGAACTATATAAGATAATATGGCTTCTGTGGTTAATAATTATTC